TAGTTTTTATTGAGCTAGATTCTGTCATAAAGCATTGGTTTAGATAGGTTGTTTCTTTTAAAAGAGATTGTAATAATACATTTTTAGCTTTTCTGGTATTTGTTATGCTAACTGACCATACCAACCCCATTTTTCTAACAAGAAACTCCATTCCATGACGATGGGCCTGTCATGTATGCAATGCTGAATCAATATATGTAGCAACATTCTGATAATGATTGTTGAAATAACTGTATATTCTACCCAGTGTGTCTGGTCTGGTTCTAGCTGTGTTTAGTTCCTTTTCACAGCTATTTTGTTATGTAAATGGGGTGATTTTTGGTATATAAGAAAATCTTTTAAGTAGGCAACTAGAACAAATTAGGTTGATAAATATTATCTGTAATTCTCTATATTTAGTAGGTATATAAGTCTTTGCACAATGCTCAGAGATCACACTTCAATAGTGATTTTTGGTTTAACTTGGGACGAGTCATATTGCAATATTAATAAATAGATCAGCCCATAAAGGGTCGACCTTTCTTGGCAATACCTGGTCTGGTTTGATTTTATTCTCCACCTGGAACGAACCTATGGTGATTGGATTTATATCCTGAATTTAACAAGAGGGATCTTTGCATTAAACCGATTTGAATGTGGACCTCTGCAGAAAGGGTTAAGGCAGAGGGGTAAGTAAGAGGTGTGAGCTGACCGGTCTAGGGCTACATTTGGCTGGATACCACGTGTAGTCTATAGTACAGATCACATTGCATCAGAATATTTCGAGTTACAGGCTGATATCAGGCAATGCAAAGAAAAATGCTGAGCAAATCGTTGTCACGGCATTTAAACATGAACTTTGTCAGTTTCTAAATCTGATATTATTGTGCAAGAAAAACAGGCACTTATAAGGATAGGCCAACACTACAAGCCAACCAAAGCAGTTTAATGTGGATCTGTCACAATACAATATAAGAGTATTTTTTAATTCAGCAAATACAAATAGTTACTGTTGTAATTATTTTTTATAGATGGCTCGTTCTAAGCAACGCTTTCCTTCCCAACCCTGTGTATGCAAAGTGTAGCGTCCTACTAAGGATCTCGTAACATTCCCCTTTGCTTCAGTGACAGCCGTCACCCAGCAGAGAAACACGTTTCATCCATAGGATAAATGAAAAATAAATAAACAAGTTAAGTTTAGTAAATGTAAACTCATTTCTGCATTCTTGAACAGCATTCTGTACATTAAATTGCTATGCAAATATTTTCTTTAAACAAACGATATAACAAGTGAAGTGTGTGTATGTGTCACGTTACCTTTCGTTGCCCAGGCTGTACAGCCTTGGAAGGTCCAGGAAGGAGAGATGGACCCTTCCCACAGTCCCTCCCATGTCTCCAGCGGTTCAGACGCCGGCTGCTATAGCTCCTCCCCTTTTTATGATGCGGCGTGTGCGTGCTGACCGACACGGCCCGCCAAAACGTTAAAATACGACCGTTTTGTGGGCGTGGCTATAATTTAAAGACATAGAGTATGAAAGGAGCACTCAGGCAATGGATCATTGCCCTGTTGTGGTTTCTGTTTTCAGTTCCCAAGAGTACGTTATATCCTGTGTCTATTCTGGTATTTTGATCTTGGTTTTCTACTGACTCTTCTACGTTCTATCCTCCCTGACTCGGCTATTGGTTTTTTCGCTTCCCTGATTTCTGGCTTCCCTGACTCGGCTTGTCCCTGACTATTCTAATTCTAACAGCGTATAACCCAGCCATTCTAAGGACCGGTAAACGTTGTCTAATCTATTATCATATCTGTTTACTTTGCGTGTTGGGTCACAAGTTATAGTGACAGTATGTAAATGGATCTGTGTGTGGTGTACTTTGTGTAGCTAGGGGCTGTAATGTATGTGCGCGTAAGGGGCTATACAGACTGTGTGTGTGTTTACTGGGGTTTTAGTGACTGTGTGTATAGGGCCTGTAGAGTGTGTGCTTGTGTATTTAGTGGCTGCACTGTGTGAGCGTATGTATTGGTGTTGCATTGTGTGTGTATCAACAAGCTGTAGTATGTATGTATGTATATAGGGATTGTTGTGTCTGTGTATAGGGGTGAAGTGTGTATGTGTTAGGGGGTAAAGTGTGTGCGGGTAGGTGTATTGCATTGTGTTGGGAGGTGTGATGTGTGTGTATGGGGAGTTGTACTTTTTGCATAGGTGGTGTATTGTGTGGGGGGTGTACTGTTCAGGGCAGTGTACTGTGTGTACTGTGTGTAGGTGGTGTACTGTGTGTGTGGGAGTGTGTATTGTCTGTGAGTGTGTACTGTGTATGGCAGTGTGGAAGTGGGGTAGGGAGGGGATTTAATATTTTTATTTTTTTAATTAAACAAAAATTATTACCCTTATCCCTGTTCTTACTTGAAGGGAGGGGGTGCATTCAGACGCTGGTGGTTTGGATTGTTGCCTACTGACTGGGTGCAAGTCAGGCCACGAGATGAGAGGAATCTCCCTTGGAACCCCAACATTTACACTTAATGTCAGAGCATTGCCGCGGATTACCACAGCAACACTCTGACACTGTAAGTGCTCTGATAGTAATGCAAATTCTGGATTTAATTTGTCCCTTTTAATGTTGCTTTAAGGAGACAATTTGGAAATGTTCTAGATCTAGACTGTCTGAACAGAGCAGAAAATATACTTGGTTGTGAGAAGATGTGGACCGTATAGGAGAGATATGTGTCATGTTTACCCACTGGCCATTGACTTAAAAACATGAAGATGCCGAGTGATATCTCAAGCTTGACTAAGGTAAGTAGCTTAGCGAGTCATGAATTCAAGAAAGCTCCAGGCTTCAGCAGATGACCTGATTACAGTAATTCGGATTAGAATACCCAAGTTGGGGTTCAATGCTCTAACATTTACACAATTCAATATCTAGACTTGGAGATTAATTTCTGTCTGAACTGCAATTCATTCGCATCGGGGCTGACTGATCGGTTGATCAGTCGAATTCACAAACTCCAAGCCAAAATGTGGCTGAATTATGAACCAACCAAAACTGGCAATGGCCAAACATGTTCATTATGATCCATGATTTTTGGTGTCAAGAAAATAGATGATTGATGATTGATGGCTAGGGGAACAGTCATTAAATGTTTATTAAATGTATTAACAGATTAAGTGAGAAGGGGCCAATAGAGAAAAAAAATTGGGGCAGTAGAAAATAAGTTTAGATTTATGTTTGATATAATTAATAAATATATAATATGTAAATATAGATTTTTTTTTTCCATTTAAAAAAAAAAAAACAATTACTTTTCCTCACATGTGAACAAATTGGCATGAAAATGCTCATTACGGTGTACTGCAAAATATATACAGAATATTTTAGCTATGTATATATTGTGCAGTCAGGGAGACAGCCACTAGAGACATTAACGCTGCATTGTATTCAATGAGTGGCAAAGCAAATTGTAAGTTTTAGAAGTTCAGCACTTTGCAATCAGGTCTACATATTAGGTGTGTCCCTAAAATCACGGGTAATCTCGTAAAGTCAAAACTTGTGAATGATTACGAAGAATCAAGACTTTGACATTACAGGTGGCCTGCTTTGATTTGACTAGCAGTGTAGTAGCCAGAATTATCTAACTGTGATGTCATCCAGTGACATCATAAAGGCAAAGCACATAGCTGCCACTGGCTGGTGTTGAAGAGCAGTTGTTGCTACTATACATTACTGAATCTGAGATTATTTTGTTTATTGTGTGTTTATGGACCGTGAGAGACAGAGGAGGAACCGAAGGGCCTCTTATATTGAGGAACGTGGTGCATCCCGACCAAGCAAGTTATAAAGACGTAGTACTTTCACTGTCCTCACACACGCATTATGCTCTATATTGTCACACTATCACTTTATGCAGTTCATGTAAAGGTGCTGAAAATGTTCATCATAGGAATGTCTCATTTTATTTTCAGACATGTAACACCCTTCATTATATGTTTTAAAACTATAGTGTCTCCACTCAGAATTTCACACTTCAGAAAATGCTTTTTAAAATACCCCTAAATATTAAGCAAAGTATAATGGGAAAAGACCCCATTAGGGTGGTTGAGTTTTATTTGAATTTCAATTTTAGGGGTTTATTTGGGTGTAAACATGGGCCGGGTGAGTGCCTGTCTTCATAAATTAAGTTTCGTCATTGATTGCTCCATGATCACAGTCTGGGCTTGAAGACCCTATTCTGGCATTGAATGTCCTTCTTGAGTCATGACACTAAGCTAAGCCATAGGGTACATTCTTCTTTGTCACAGGGGCTTAAAATTGAGATTGGAGACAAAATAGACCTTCAGAAGTCTTTAGTGGGCTAATGTCCCCACTAAAACCCCCCCTTTTAGCAAATGAAAACTCAACAAGTGCTCTAAATTCACTAAACTTGCATGTTTTACAAACATTATTCTTCAGCACTAAATAAGAACATGCTGCACATATATATAATAATGGTAAACATTGTCTGGTGCAAAGCTAATACTTTAAGAAGATAACTGATGTTCAAAACTAGAGTATATTTACATTTACATCCTCTTTATTCAAGGGTTTAAAGTAGATTTGAAACATAATCAGTGAACACTCAAGAAAAGCTACGTTTTGACGTTCTAATTAATAATTTGATTATTTTCTTATTATTCACAATTATTATTTCTATATTCCTTCTTTTAGGATCTAGGGTAAGGCACAATAACCGCAGAGCTGCTAGATCTCGTACGCCATCTTCGGTAAGGCAGGCAAGAAGGAGGTATAGACAAAGCCAAAGAGCTCAAATGCCTACTGAACATTCAAACAATAATGCTCAAAGGGAGGATACAAGAAGGAATGAGAGAGGTCGGCCAGAGGTTTCCCAAAGACGTGGGAATGGACAAGCAGGGGGCAGACAAGGAAGGAGAAATGCGAGAGCTCGTTCCCAGCGGAGTCCATCTCCTAATGTTGAAGATGTTGATGATAGACCACGATGGATAAGCCGATCTCCAATAAATAGAATGGTGGATCCCAATTCAAATTCACTGCATAATGCTGAGGAAGAAGACAGTGCAGAGCACCAACCAGATGTCAATGAGCCTAGACCTGAAAATGTTGAACACGACCAGTCTCTTCCAGAACCTACTGAAGCACAGGATAATGAACTTCCCCAGCTCGTTTCAGCTCCATCTGGTGAAGATAATGGTGTAGAAGTGTGCTGTATATGCCTTATTGCATTTAGTACTGAGAAGGAAAGTCTGCGTTTGCACTGCGGTCATCGATTCCACACTCAATGCATATTGACGTGGCTAGCGGACCACGTCACCTGCCCTTACTGCCGTACTGAACTTTTTTAAAAAATAGCAGAGCTCTGATCATATCACTAATATAATTATGCAGAGCTCCTATTGAGGAAGGACACTGAAATGGACACTGAGAAGATGTACCTGTACCTGCTTCCAACGTACCATATTTTGGAGATGTACCATCCAGTTTCCACTAAGCCGAGTTCAGTGAAATGTTCTTTTAATATAGCTATTAAATTTATCCAGACACAACTGAAAATTTAAGTGTTACTATTTTAATTAATTTTACTTAATAATGGGAATTTTGATATTATTATCTTTTCATTATCTGTTTTACGTGTTGGTGTTTTACATTATGATTCATATTCATATATTGAATATGTTGTGCAATTTTGGGCACCTGTTCTAAAGAAGGATATTATGGCACTAGAAAAAGTGTAGAGGCGGGCTACAAAATTAATAAAAGGAATAGAACATATCAGCTATGAAGAAAGGTTAACAAATTTAAACCTATTTAGTTTAGAAAAACGTCACCTGAGAGGGGATATGATAACATTATACAAATATATTTGGGGCCAATACAAACCATTGTATGGAAATCTATTCACAAACCAGACTTTACATAGGACACGAGGCCATGCGTTTAGACTCGAAGAAAGAAGATTTTGCCTAAGGCAAAGGAAAGGGTTTTTTTTACTGTAAGAACAATAAAGATGCGGAATTCTCTGCCTTAAGAAGTGGTTTTATCAGAGTCTATACATATGTTCAAACAGCTACTAGATGCATACTTGCAAAAACAGAATATTGAAGGATATAATTTTTCAATGTAGGGTAATAACTGCTTGATTCAAGGATCAATCTGACTGCCACTCTGGGGTCAAGAAGGAATTTTTTTCCTAGCTTGTTGCAAAACTGTGCTTCAAACTGGGTTTTTTGCCTTCTTTTGGATCAACAGCAAAAAACAAATGTGAGGTAGGCTGAACTTGATGGACGCAAGTCTCTTTTCACCTATGTAACTATGTAACTATATCTGTTATATAATTATGATGCAGGACTCCCATTGACGATTGGTACCAAAATGCTCACTTGAAAGATTGCCTGTGCCTGCTTCCAAAATGCAATATTTTGCGGAAAAGTTATGTACCAGCTAGCATTAACCCAACAATGGTTTTGTTACTGCTCTGTCATCATGTCAAGCCCATGTGGTTCTCCTGCACAGCACCCCATCAAAAAACAAAAAAAGAAAAATTACTTCTCTCAGCCCCTTTGCGTGTCTCTTTCTTGTCCAACTTTTTTGCATAACTCTTTTTTCCACCGCAGCACCTTAGTGGGTCTCTTTCTCTTCCCAGCCCCTCTGTGTGTCTATTTTTATCCTCCCAGCCCCTCTGTGTGTCTCTTTGTCCCCCCAGCCTCTCTGTGTGTCTTTGTCCTGCCCAGCCCTTCTGTTTGTTTCTTTGTACTCCATACTCTTTCTGTGTCTGTTTCCACTTCCCCAGCCCCTCTGTGTGACTCTTCCCCCCCCCAGCACATTTGTGGATCTATTTCTCTCCCCCAGCCCCTTTTTTTTCTCTTTACCCCCAGCCCCTCTGTGTGCCTCTTTGTCATTCATCCAGCCCCCTTGCATCACTTTGTCTTCTCCAGCCTTCTGTACACCTCTCCCCCCTCAGCCCTTCTGTGCACCTCTTCTCCCCCTCAGACCTCTGTGTGCTTCTCCCCCCAGCCCTCTGTGCGCCTCAAGCCAAGCCCTCTGTGTGCCACTCCCCCAGCCCTGTGTGCTTCTCCCCTCTAGCCCTGTGCACTTCTCCCCTCTCAGCCCTCTATGTGCCCCTCTTCCCTCCACACCCTCTCTGTGTGCCACTCCCCCCCCAGCCTTGTATGTGTGTCCCCAGCCATGTGTGCTTTTGTCAAGAGGTCACACCCGCCCTGGCTGTCCCTTGTTTGGCCAAAGATGCCAGGGACCATAACTTTCCCCTACTGCTTTATGTACAAAGCATAATTCTAAATGGTTGATGATTTACCCCACATCCTCTGTACATGGTTAGGAAGACAGAGTGGTGTCTGGTAATTGGATTCAATGTTTCCCCCTCTGTCTGGAATTACCTGATGTCTCCAGTTAATTAGAGTTTGCTATTTTTAATAACATTACCTGTTGTCTGGTGTACCTGTAATTGCATTACCTGTTTTAAATGTACCCTGTTATAATTGATCTAATTTTCCCCTGGGTGTCTGATGTCTCTGATTGGTCACTGCTGTTTGTGTTATTTGGAGAACTGCTATATATTCTGTCTGTGAACCAGTAGAAAGTATGTTCGTGATTTACCAAGAAGGAGTTTTGTGTCTCTTGAAGCATCCAGATGTTTTACTGTTTGTTGTCCACTATAGAATAGTTACTCATAGAGAATTTTTAGTGGACTCGATAGATAGAATATCCTATATGAACCGGTCCAGGCAGGGCCGGATTAAGAGCACAGTGGGCCTGGTGCTGACAATTATGATGGGCCTAATTACGGAATCTTATTGACCAAAAACACTAAAACAATCATACCTCCCAAGCGTCATGTATCTGATGGAGATGGTGCTGGAGGGACACTCATAGAATGCAGCTATAAGAAAACACATACTCTATGCTAATCCCTCTCTAATTTATGATTTCATCTTTCAAGTAAATCCATAACCCCTAACAGCAGTGTCCAGTGAAGCAGGAAATCAATGGGCGGTGTAAAAGGGTGTGCCACTGGCACGAATCACGTGAAAAGACCTGCCAAAAGGGGTGAACATGTTTGTCCAAAGAATTGGAAGGTCAGCCTGGCATGAATGCATGTCAGGCTGCCTGCCAATCCTGCAGGCTGTCCAACTAAGGGCATACTATGCAGGCAGCACCTTGAGCTTGACATAAATGTGTCTAATGATGCGCTCATTCCATTCTTTCAAAGGACTGTCCCATAGCATTCGCTGGTCCACTTGTCTCCTTACCTTCTTACTAGCAGGCAGAAGTTCCTGGTATATAGTCCGAGACAGAGAAAAGATGTCTGTAGTGAGTGTAGAAGAAAGGGGACATGCCACAGTGTTAGAGAGACCAACATCTGCATTACCTAAACTAACTTTAATGTCAGCAAGTGCACACAAGTTTTGTTCCAATACATCCCTCTTAAGCTTCCAAACTTAAAGGGACACTATAGTCACCAGAACAACTACAGCTTATTGTATTTATTCTGGTAAGTAGAATCATTTCATTCAGGCTTTTTGCAGTAAAAACTGTCTTTTCAGAGAAAATAACTCCACTGGCTGCTCCTTAGATGGCTGCTAGAGGTGCTCCCTGGGGCAGTACTGCCTAGTGTGCAGCACTGCCATTCAGTGTCTCCACCCTCTGCATGTAGACACTGAACTTTCCTCATAGAGATGCATTGATTCAATTTATCTTTATGAGGAGATGCTGATTGGCCAGGGCTATGTTGGACTTGTGCTGGCTCTGCCCCTGATCTGCCTAGTTGACAGTCTCAGCCAATCCTATGGGGAAGTATTGTAATTTGCTCAGACCACCACTTCTGAGCCAGCAGCTGCAGAATTGAATACAAGTAATATTTTACTATATTTAGGGAGGCAAGAAGGGGCCAGGGTGGTGGTTTTAACATAATAGGGTCAGAAATACATGATTGTGTTCCTGACCCTATAGTGCTCCTTTAAGCAAGAGTATGTGAAGAGTAGTTAAGGTTGCCACCTTTCTTGGAAAAAAATAACAGCCTTAATAAGTTGTATAATTAGTTATGCGTGACATCACATGATGTAAATTACAAGGAGTAACATCAGAGAAAATTCTATAAAATCACCAAACTACTCACAGTTTGATTCTGCTGTATAGATGGATTGCTCCCAGTGTCTCACTGTCTCCCAGTGTCTCAGTCTCGCAAGTCACCCAGTGTCTCAGTGTCCCTATGTATCACAGTGTCAGTGTCCCTGTGTCCCCAGTCCCCTAGTCTCCCAGAGTCTGTGTCCCCATTTCTCCCAGTGTCTCAGTGTGTCCCCATGTCACTAGGATACTGGGGACACTGAGAGACCCAGGGACACTGAGACATTTAGGGAAACTGGGAGAAATGGGGACACTGAGACATTAGGGACACAGACACTGTGAGACATGGGGACACTGAAACATTTGGGGATACTAAGACACTAGGGACACAGACATGGGAACACAGACACTGGGAGACTAGGGGACACTGGGAGACTAGGGGACACTGGCTGGGAGACAGACACTTGGGTACACGGGGACAGTTGTGGACATAGACACTGGGACATATAGGGACACTGGGAGACATGGGGATACCAGGCACACTGAGACACTAGGAACACATTGGGATACATGGAGACACTGAAACATATGGGGACACTAAGACACTAGGGACACAGACACTGGGAGACTAGGGGACACTGGGAGACTAGGGGATACTGGGAGACTAGGGGACACTGGGAGACTAGGGGACACTGGTTGGGAGACAGACACTTGGGGAGACATGGGGACAGTTGTGGAAATGGACATGGGGACACTGGGACACATGGGGACACTAGGCACACTGAGAGACATGGGACACAGACACTGGGAGACTTGGGGACACTGAGACACTAGTCTCAGTGTCCCCTAGTGTCTCAGTGTCCCCAGGTCTCTCAGTGTCTGTGTCCCCATGTGTCCTAGTGTCTCAGTGTCCCCTAGTGGCAGTGTCCCCATGTGTGTCCTAGTGTCTCAGTGTCCCCTAGTGTCTGTGTTCCCATATGTCCCCAAGTGTCCCCATGTTTTCCAGTGTCCCCAAGTGTCTCAGTGTTCCCAGGTCTCCCAGTGTCTGTGTCCTAGTGTCTCAGTGTCCCCTAGTGTATGTGTCATCATGTGTCCCCTAGTGTCTGTGTCCCCTAGTGTCTAAGGGTCCCCATGTGTCCCCTAGTGTATGTGTCCCCATGTGTCCCCTAGTGTTTCAGTGTCCCCAATGTGTCCCCTAGTGTCTCAGTGTCCCCATGTGTCCCTGCTGCCTTTCCCCCGATCCCTCACTTACCTGAGCTGTAGAGCTGCTGTCTGGACTGTCTGCGCTGTGTAGCTGCTCCCCCACGGATCAGTGAGTAGTAGAGAGAGTCAGGGATATTCTGTAACTTCCTATCCCTGCCTCTCTCCACACACAGTGACCCCTACTGGCCGGTGCTGGTATTGCAGAGTAATTTCCATTTATTCTGAGAAAATTACCTGCATTTGTATTGCTGGTATTACTGCAATATTGGCAAGGCCAGGCAGCCTCAAATACCGTCTGTGCCATTAAAATACCAGTCAGGTGGCAAACCTAAGAGTAGTGTGTAAAAAAAAAGATATTTTTTTTAAATGGGCCTATTCTATGGGCCTGGGCCTGGAGCTGCAGCTCCATCAGCCCCTATGTTAATCCGGCCCTGGGTCCAGGAGGTGGGAGGGTCTGGGAGGGAGGGTCTGCTGCTGATTGGCTGGAATATGTCTGCTGACTGTGAGGTACAGCGTCAAAGTTTACTCAATGATGAGTCCGAGGCGAACCGTTCGTGGCGAACCGTTCGCAAACCGTTCGGCGAACCATTCGGGACATCACTAGTGCTGGATATCATTGTGAATGTGCGTATACAATGAGCAGATCAACACGGTTATTATCCAAAGTGAGAATTCTTAGTGAATTTACAGTGATTTTCAAATTTTCTGTTAAGGTAGCTGAACTGGAAAAAATCTCTAACTCTGTTATGCTTCCAATCTGACTACTCTGAACTTAAATTTAAAATTCACTTTAAATACACTTAGAAATCCCTCTTTAATTTTGTTTGTTTTAGCGATAGAACCCCTGGCAGAACTGATTAGGACAACCCCACAAATTGTAGGAATTGCGGTTAAAGAATCCGTTCACAAAATTGGTTTGTTTGCAGATGATATAATCCTAGCTATCAAAAACCCAAAAGAATCTTTGAGACACCTCAAGGATATTTTGACTCAATTCGGTGAGATATCGTATTACAAATTAAATGAGTCCAAAACTCAAGCCCTTCCGTTTCATTTAAACAATTTGGAAACCATTGCCCTTAAGAAATCATATTTATTTGATTGGAGAACTGAATATATGGAATATCTTGGCATTAATTTATGCAAAAATTTGGTCAATATGCACAATCACAACCTGAGGAAAGCATGGTCAGACCTACAAAAAGAGATGGAGAGATGGGGTGGGATGGAGCTCTCATGGCTGGGGAGGGTCGCATCTATTAAAATGACGATACTCCCCAAAATTTTATATTTTTTTAGGACCATTCCTCTGTCCATTCCATTATCATTTTTTAATAAAGTTCATTCGACAATGTTGAAATTTATATGGGGGAACAAGCCTGCCCGAGTGAGGCTCACTTCCCTGCAGCACCATAAATGAACGGCGGTATCGGTGTCCCCGATATCCGCAAATATTATTTCGCCACTAACGCTGCAGTGGTTGTGAGCTTTAACAACCAGGATGATAAACCCAGATGGATGGAGATAGAGGAATCAAAAATTTCACCGGTTAGACTATCAGAATTACCTTGGTTAAATCCTAAGAAAAGACCTGGAATTACAAAATTATTTTTATCCACTAGGACTACGCTTAAGGCCTGGGACATTGTTTTTAAAAATGACCAGTCTCCCAGTTTATATAGAGCAATGCCTATTGAATTATTGAAAGATCATATACCATCCTTAAAAATAGAATTATTGAAGGATTGCTCTATAACTAATCTGGACAATTTTTTTTATGGCAATGCTATTCTTTCTTTGGAAAAATTGAAGCTTAAGTATGGATTGTCGAATGCATGTGAACTGGAATGTATGATAATCATTGATAAATTGAAAGAACTATACCAGGTACCTGAAACCGATAAAAATTATAAATCACTTGAGATATCTCCTTTAGAGAAAGTTATTTTATACAGCCCCGCTAGTAAAGGTATGATATCCTTATGTTACTTATCTCATAATGCCAAGCCCTTAATTAAATTAAAACATATGCTGTCATGGGAGACGGAGTTGGGTGCCCAGTATGATTTAAAAGAATGGTTCGGTTTCTTTACAGGTTTAAAAGGTATTTCATATTGCACCGACCATTTTGAAAATCACTATAAAATCTTATATCGCTGGTACCTGGCCCCGTCTAGATTACATAACATGAACAATATGTATTCGGACCGATGTTGGAGAGACTGTGGGGGATTGGGCAATATGGCCCATATCTGGTGGTTCTGCCCCAAGTTAATTAATTATTGGAAAATGATCCACAATCTGATTATTAAAGTGAACGGAACCATTAGTATCTTAACCTCGGAACTAGCCTTATTTAAAAAACTCCCGGAGTCTGTTAATAGATCAGATAAAATAATCATAGGCCACATTCTGATCGCTGCTACATCCTGTTTACCTAGACATTGGAAGTCTCAAAATGTGCCATCTCTCAGAGAAGTTTTTAATTTGATTTTAGAAAATAAGGCACATGAACTATCACACAGAGCCAATATGCATGGTTTCCCAATACTAAAATACAACTGGGATAAATGGGAAGAAAAAATCAAAACAGTTTATGGTCTTTGATATATTTATTGTTAAAGTGCATTGTTGTAAAACATTTTTCTTTTTTGCCATATACTTTAATATGTTTATTTCATTGATGGATGGATACCCCTTCCCATTTCCATGTTACCCCTCCTTTCCTACCCTTAATACAATGTTTGTATTATTATCATTTGTTATACAAAAAAACTTTAATAAAAATTATTTGAAAAGAAATCCCTCTTTAGTGAATAAATCTATCATATCTGCCTTTCACAGCGGATGCAGTTATTAAATACGTTATATTTCATTGTTTCAATATTAATGGTCCCATATCTTCCAAATGTCCCTCTTTAGGATGGTCCATGGCAAGCTCTGGAGGTGCACTTAGCCATTAAGCCCACCTTGGTGGCATGCGTGTCACTGGTGATGACAATATGCCCTTAGTCTGGCCCACCTCTCCATTTGGGCTGCACTACATGTCTGGCTTACATTTTTGTCCCATTCCGACGCTGGGTGTAATCTTAATCTAGAAATAACTGCGCACTTTATCACAAAACCGTAAATTGTTGCAAATTCACCTAGAAAATAGCAGATTTCAGACAAAAATAGTTGAATAAAAAAATAAAAAATCCAATTCTCCAGCTTGGTCTAAAATGTGTTAATCCTTAATCAACGATTTGCACCCCTCTTACAATTCACGGATTAGAGAGTTAACCCCCAATTAGAGGGCTAACAATTACCTAAGGATCCAGTAGCAGCAGAGCCAGGTACTGTCAGCACTTCACAGAGACAAATCCCTGAATGTCCGTGAAAAGGATTTTATGACGTTCAGCTCAAATTCCTATTTACCAGCCATTCCTCTTCTGACATAGGAAGAGGTAAAGTCCTCTTTCAACATAAAGAATAGGCTGAACTCGCAATTATAAAGTGTCAGGGTAAAGGGACAAAGTAACATCATGAGAGGGTCCACACTGATAAATAACTATATATTAAGCAAGGACTCTGAGAATTGGAGAGAATTGGAATCTTAAGCCAAACTGGATTTAAAGGGACATTTGCATATGTATGTGTTTAAACATGAAAACTTGTTTTACATCGGAATTGAATTTTGTAGAAATATTTACTTTTGATAATAATGCTACTTCTATTCTAAAATGGCATGCAGGGTCTGTTTTTCCTTAATATTAAGAAGTTCTAAGGAAGTGGTGTACACATAACCCCTGGATCCCCCGGTGCAAAACTGATCCATGGCCCCCCCCCTTCCTCTTCCCCCCTCTAATTCTCCCCCGACAGACACACACACACATACATACAGAGACACACACACATACATACAGACACATACATACAAAGACACATACATACAAACAGACTGGCAGGCACACATACATACAGACAAGACACACATACATACAACAAATAGACAGACAGGCACACATACATACAGAGAGACAGATACACACACATACAGACAGACACACACAAGACACACATACATACAAAGACATACATACAGACAGATAGACAGACACATACAGACAGACACACACACACACACAAGACATACATACAAAGACACATACATACAAACAGATAGGCACACATACATACAGACAGATAGACACAGACACATACATACAAACAAATACAAACCTGATATTTAATTCCTACCTTTTAGATGCAGGAGGGTGACTTTACCTGGGGTCCAGTGGTGGCTCAGGTTAATGGGAGTCAGAGTTCCCACTCTGACTCCCTGTTTTTCCTCCCGCGCAGGCTCTCAGTGATAGCTGGGAGGAGTGACGGGCACAGCACAGCACAGCACAGCATTGACCGGGCCCCCTAACAATCCATCTCCATTGGGTGGCCCTAACAACATGGGCCACCTGATGGACCCCTTGGACGGCGGCCCCGGCGGTTTGCCAGGCGGGCTGGGGCCGCAAATGATGATGACGGGCACCCAGTTGCAGGGGTCTGCAGGGCAGCCGGGCCCCCTGGAGTGACGGTCCCGGTGGCAGCTGCGCCCCCTGCGACCACGGCATGTATGCAAGTGTGCTGAGGGGTGATTTTCACATTGCATAGAATCTAGAGGGAAGAACTATGGGGAGTTTTTGGGGTGATCAGCTGTGCCCTTAGTTTTTTTTAAGAATCTCACAGAGCAGTTTAAAAGTTCAGAAAAAACACTGGGGTTCAGTATACAGAAAAACTGAACAGCATATTTTTTACATCAGTGCTGTCAGCGGGAATAGTCCATTTGTTTCATGGTGATGGTTACAGATTTGTCCCAGAATTGCAAACTTCCCAATATTACAAATGGACAAAGAGGGATGTCACCAGAACAACTACAGCTTAAGGTAAAGAGAAAAGGCTGTGTCGACATTGCACACGATTCTTTTCCTTATGTCGGTATTCACAATGGCATTTAAAAAGGGCCGTTACAACAAAGCAATTACCTCCTAATTACTTATAAAGAGGAACGGGCTGTTCTGAGAAATTTTAGGTGACCTACTAATAGCAATTTATAGAACTAAAATGTAATTTATAACAAGAACAATGTATCTTATTTACACAGACTGATTTCTAAACACATTTATTGTAGTTTAAAGACACATTACTGGGAGTATTATTGCTGTGGAGCTCTGTGATACACTCAGACACATTACTGGGAGTATTATTGAGTATTATTGATGTGGAGCTCTGTTATACACTCAGACACATTACTGGGAGTATTATTGCTGTGGAACTCTGTTATACACTCAGACACATTACTGGGAGTATTATTGCTGTGGAGCTCTGTTATACACTCAGACACATTACTGGGAGTATTATTGCTGTGGGAGACACATTACTGGGAGTATTATTGCTGTGGAGCTCTGTTATACACTCAGACACATTGCTGTGAGTATTATTGCTGTGGAGCTCTGTTATACACTCAGACATTATTGGGAGTATTATTGCTGTGGAGCTCTGTTATACACTCAGACACATTACTGGGAGTATTATTGCTGTGAGCTCTGTTATACACTCAGACACATTACTGGGAGTATTATTGCTGTGGAGCTCTGTTATACACTCAGACACATTACTGGGAGTATTATTGCTGTGGAGCTCTGTTATACACACAGACACATTACTGGGGGTATTATTGCTGTGGGGCTCTGTTATACGCTCAGACACGTTACTGGGAGTATTATTGCTGTGGGGCTCTGTTATACACTCAGACACATTACTGGGAGTATTATTGCTGTGGAGCTCTGTTATACACTCAGACACATTACTGGGAGTATTATTGCTGTGGAGCTCTGTTATACTCTCAGACACATTACTGGGAGTATTATTACGGTGGGGCTCTGTTATACGCTCAGACACATTACTGGGAGTATTATTGCTGTGGAGCTCTGTTATACGCTCAGACACATTACTTGGGAGTATTATTGCTGTGGAGCTCTGTTATACACTCAGACACATTACTGGGAGTATTATTGCTGTGGAGCTCTGTTATACACTCAGACACATTACTGGGAGTATTATTGCTGTGGAGCTCTGTTATACACTCAGACACACCAACAATGTGGAGCTCCAAAAAAGAGGGACATTAGGATAAAAAAGAGGGACATAGGGATTTGAGACTAAAATAGGGACTATCCCTCCTAACTAGGGCCACTTGGGAGGTATTGAATTGTGCTTTAGTCTTAATTTCCTATGTCACACTGATTTTTCTATTAGTTTGCCATTCAATAAATCTAATTTAAAGAAAACAGAAAACATTCCTTGGCTGAACACCTTTATGTGCTGCACATAATTAAGGTATTGCTAATATCAATAAATATATATAATCTTATTTGGACTAACCGAGTCCCATGTACATTTTGCTGCTGACTACTGCCATCTATTGGTAATGCAAGAAATTACACTTAGTGCCTGCAGGGCAAACATTCACTTTTACGCCAGTACCCAAGTAATACTCTTACTATACCGAAGCTGTTAAAGTGTTTGTTTCCTCGAATCCGTAGTTGATGAATGGACAGTGCTTGACGTTTATGGAGAGATATCAAACAGGGGGCAGCGAGAATGCTCAGACAGCAGATTTAGATTTTTTTTATAATTATTTATTGAAATGTCATATGTAGATGAATCTAAATAGAATTTTACCTTTTAGACCAAAATATCTGAATTGGAAAAAATTCAGCTATGCTTTCAAATTCTGTTTAGGTCTAAAAGTGGAAATTCGTGTTGAATTAATTTTGAGTTGTAGACAATTCCCACTTTAAAGTGGCACACTAGGTTTCGTAACCACTTCATGTCATTGAAGTGGTTATAGTGACTGGAGTCCTCTGGTGCCGACGCTCTGTTCAGTGTTAAACCATTTTGCCCATCCTCTCTGTGCTGCTTGGGCTAATGAGGAAGCATTATCATAAGCAGTAATATGCAGCAGTGATTGGCTGTGAGTGTCAGCTGACTACTTTCAGCCTGTCACAGCGGCCATTGTTGGTATGAATTTGTATGGCCAGAAGGAAGTGTGTAATCTCTGCCTTAACCACACCTCCAGTAGGGGCGGGACTATGGGAGTTCAGGGAACCTCATTCAGTGTTAAGCTGCTTAAAAATGGTCTCTTACTGAATGTAGTGACAGTGCCAGGGGACTCCATGAACTATAACCACTTAATTGAGATGAAATGGTTATAGTGCCTAGAGTAGGCATATGAAACTCTGCCCCCCCTTTTCCCCCTGCAGATGTTGCTAAACTACATCTCCCATGATTCTCTTGCAATCTTTTGCAAATCCAAAGAACGGGTGATAAAATTTGAAATTCTGAAACCTAGATTTTTCCTTTTATTTTGTTTATTTGCATTTGAATAAAATACATTGTTGTTCAGGCACAGCATGTCATCCCGTGGACGTGGAAATGTCCCGAGATATATTTCTGGAGCCGCACACGTTGGAATCTTTACTCTGGACAGAAGAATCTATATATCTACCTGCCGTAGAGTGGTGCATAGGAAGAGATATTTAATTATTATTTTTTTAAGCTCTGCCAGTCGCTGTGAATCACTGTGTTCCCGGGAGAGTCTGGAAGCCTGTGTTTTGTCACCGTCTGACACATCTGAATTATTATTAATACGCTGGAGATTAGCTCAGACTGCAAATCCGGGAAGGGACCAGATGTGACAGTCTGCAACGATTATAAACTCTGTGATTTTGCATCCAGCTGAGTTACCTATAAGCTTGCTGTCGTACCTCTTTATAAGTAATTAGGAGGTAATCGCTTTGTTGTAGCTGCCCTTTTTAAATCCCATTATGAATACCGACATAAGGAAAAGAACCGTGTGCAATGTATCCGTACTTTCAAATAAAAATAAACTATATACCTAGATGAACTTGGAATACAACTCCCATTGCATTAAGCCAGCCTATATTTTGACCTTGACCAAGATTTCTCATTATCATTTGGACAGACAAATCCGTGATCAAGGGAGGAATAGATAGATAGATGGATAGATAGATAGATGATAGATATGTTCACACTTTTTAAACAAATCTTGTAGAAAATAATGGTAAACAGTTTAACAAACTCTATTTGTTTCTATAGATTAAAAATTAGTTTAAAATTAATTTGCTTAAATTTCCATTTAGTGCGAGGGGTTAATGTGTCTTAATTGGACCAAATGAGCCAATTAGCTACCCAGGCATTCTATAAGAGAGCAAAGCAAGGCCTTCTATCACCCAATGTGTGTTTAATGTTAATGTAAGCGATTAAAACGTATCACTGACAGAAGCAGTGGCAGCGTTTGAAAAGTGGATTTCCACAGAGCTGTTTTAGGAATATGGATGAGGTGGATTTTATAGACGATAGGCATAAAGTGCCCCTAAAAGACATATTAGAAGTGTACGGACAGCCTATCAGCGAGGAGCAGGCCTGGGCCCTGTGTTACCAAAGCTGTACCAAGCTGATAAGCCTCCTGTGTTGGTCGCATTGGGTGCCAACGTTGGAGGGAGTGGAGAATATTTATATCTGCGAGGACGGTACCGTGTCTTTTGCATCTTGTGCTGGTAAGGAATGTTAATCGTGAGGTTTAGTCATGTAACTGGGACGTCTGGTGGGAGATCGGGCTAAACAACTAGGGAGGGATTCGCTGAATTGGGAACAGAAAAATAAAATACAAATTGTATGACCCAGACTAAAATCGTTGTACTGGTAGTACAGCTGAATTAGAGAATTTTTGTCAATTTTATTTTTTTATTTTTTGTTGTTGTTGTGCAGAGAAATATGACAACATTTGTGAGGTACCCCAACGGCATTCCTCACGTTACTTTTCAACATTAATTACAATGGGGTAATTAAGATTACATGCACATTTTTCTTATTTTTGTTAGTCGCTAGCAAGAGGTATATAAAACCGTTACATCTGAGCTGGTCATACTTAGTTGAGTAGTAATTACAATAATATACGATTGGTAAGTTATAGGCTATGCAGACTAATATTGGGTGTAGATTTCTCCACACTGCTTGAAATTAACCACCGGGGGGCAGCGAGTCACTGGGTTTGCCGGGTAAAGCATACATTTAGGTTTAGACATTTTTAAACTATGTCCCTGCAGTGATTAAAGCAACTGTGTTAAGGTCATAAATGGTAAGAATGACATTGCTAAACTAAAGAAAATACAGTGCTCTGCTGGGCTGTCATTATACAAGGTTAGTAGCTGCTTAGTTACTCCTGTAGTTGCCCTGGGTCGGCTGCCATCCTGGTCACCATCATCAAGTCCCTTATTTTTCCCGCTGGGTGCTTGAGTGTTTCGGTACTTGCCGGTCAGTGGTACGTTCGTGTCATTTTCCCGCACCAGCCTTGGGTGCAGAATAATGCCTGTATGCTGCGATCGCTGCTCCTCTCAGTGTGGGCAGAGTGAGAGTCCTGGTAAAGTCCCCTTAGGTCCGCCAGTATCACAGGGAATTGTAGCTTCTGGTTTATGTATTTGGGAGCTTGATCTCCGGCTTGCAATGGGCGCGGTGGCCATCTTGGATTTTGCCACGCGGTTCTTGTGTGATCGTGTTGCAGCTCAGATGGTAGAAGCGGTCACTGCCACTCCGGCCCACAGGGGGGAGAACGGGGCCCTCAGTAAGCGTGCGAGAGGTCCTGCCGGATTAAGCACGGGAGATCGGCTGCCTCTCCCGCCAGAGCCTCACGACAGGCCTCAATCTCAGTTGCCCAACAGTCCGCTTTACCGGCAAGACGGGGGCTGATATTGACCTCCAGGGTATTTGCTTGTGTCCCCTTTACCTTCGTGTGGCTGTTGATCGATTTTTTGGGAGGGGGGGAAAGGTAAGTTTTGCCTGATTTTGCTATTTTCATAGCGGAGCCGAGGTGCCCCACGTCCATCCGGCTCGGCGGTCAGGCCCCGCCTCCCAACACTTGGATTTTAACATAAGTCATTGAGGCCATAATCCGTTAACTTTGGGAGTGCTGAGGGGATTCCTTGGGGTCCAGTGGTGTCACCTGGCGTGCGCGCATGGGAGCACTGTTCCCTGAGTGCTTCCTGTTCAGCTCACTCGCGCGCCGCGAGAATTTTTGTCAATTTTTGATTTGGTTTTTTTTCAAATTTATTTCACATTGCTGTTAAACTCAATCTGAGCTGGATGTGTTTTCTGCCTTTTAGATCAGCTCTGTGAAAAGGCACAGACAAGGCATTTCATAGAATCGACAATTGATCTGCTGCAATGACATTGTGACTGAGTACGTGATTTGCTTTTATTTCCGCTGTGAGAACCCTTGAATCTCTGAGCTGGCTCGATAGTCTCAAAGTGGAGTGAAGTCTGTCAAATCTTCCCAATTTTATTGGGAAAAGTCACTTTGTATTATATCTTAACTGCGTTTCAGAACATCGTTTTGATGTCATGCAAAAACTGTGTCTTTCATGTTGCCACGGGTGTATTGGAAGGATCAAATCCTATCTTTCCAATAGGGTGAGTGCGTTTGACCTTTTGTATTTTGTTGTTTTTAATATTGTGAGGTTTTTAGGCTGTACAGAAATGTCTTAACATGTATTTGTTATGGAGACAAAACCTGGCGATGATATTTAATCTGTACACTGTGCTAGTTAAATTGGCAACAAATGTATTGATTAAATGTCAGAATGTATAGATCACAAGAGAAGCTACATTCGCGCACTCTGTGACTTATTTTATATCTCCAAAGATTACATCAAGCTTTATCTTGTATAAACCTAAAATTTTTATCATTATTTATGTTCTACCATTTTTATCTTATGGTAAATGGGACATTGTATTAGAAGTCATTTGATATGACGCTCGCTTTCTCTGGTGAAACATTTTATTAAATGACCCTTTAAGGTGCGTTGCATTGGATTCCGTCTGGTTTTAGAACGTTACTTTCTGGAACAATATAACAAATCTCTATGGGTTACTTACTAAAGGGGAACCATGTGCGGAGTCTCTGGGCACTGGCCGTCAGATTTTGGTGCCATAACGTGCCCCCTCTGTAGCCGCACTGATGTGAAGTGTAAGCTGTCGTACTGTAAAGCTGTCAAACTTTTGATGACTATGAGCAGCTGAGCGAGACTGGGGCAGTATTTATGACACCATAACTACCACAATGAGCTGTAAGGATTATGGTGCTTTCGAATGTCCTTTAAAGACATATGACGGATTGCTAGGAAAAGATAACCGAACAGGGTTTATTTATTAAAGGAACACTATAGTCACCAGAACAATTACAACTTATTGTATTTGTTCTGGTGAGTATAATCATTCCCTTCAGGCTTTTTGCTGTAAACTGTCTTTTTAGTGAAAATGCAGTGTTTACATTACAGCCTAGTGATAACTCCACTGGTCACTCCTCAGATGGCTGCTAGGGGTGCTTCCTGGTGCGGTGCTGCACAGTGTGACTGACCTTTAGTGTTTACACCCTCTGCATGCAGACACTGAACTTTCCTCATAGAGATGCATTGATTCAAGGGAGATGCTGAATGGCCAGGGCTGTGTTTGACTTGTGCTGGCTCTGCCCCTGATCTGCCTCTTTGTCAGTCTCAGCCAATCCTATGGGAAAGCATTGTGATTGGCTCAGACCACCACTTTTGATGTCAGCCAAGCAGGCAGATCAGAGGCAGCAGATCTGAATACAGTTAACATTTTACTATATTTAGGGGTGCAAGGGGGGACTTAGGGGGATATATGGTGTTTGTTCTTTTTTATTTTTTTATTTTTTTTTAATATACTATAGGGTCAGCAATACATATTTGTTTCTTTAAATACTGCATTCACAATGTTGCAAAAGTTTGTTTGACCTCAAGTAGTAAAGTCTCCATCTCAACTTGTGTCTCTAATCGTGTAAGAACCCCTAACTGCTAAACTCTCTGTGCAGTGTCTGATCAGGTAATATGTTTGCATTGCAGGATCTCCGGATTCCAAACAGTCAGTCAAAGAGGTAAAAAGGAAAATGTGTGTTTTGTGGATAAATGTTTCTTGTCTCCATTTTACATCCTTAAAAAACATCAACATGTCTTACTTGGTCTGCATACCTGCTTCCTTCCCTGGGTGTTATGGGTACTGTCACTGGTTTTCTAGCGGTACAAGGGTATGTGCCAAATTTTGACACTGCCCTGCATTCTTATAGTATATCTTCCAAGTGTCCCGGTTCTGTATGGACAGTCCCTATCTTGTGCCCAATCCTGCATCCTCCTTGTCTATCCCAATGTCCCACTTCTATTGGATTCTATAACAGAGCTTCACAGCAATAACTCACAGTAATGCCCTTAAACTGCAAGAAGTGTAAGGTCGGTAGCTGATAACTGGGATGCTTAACCTCTGGCAGCCCAGTTAATACCGCCTGTGTTTATCTGGACTACTGCAGTCTATGCTATCTGAACAGTCGCTGCATCCAGATGGTATCAGGGCTGATCAGGAATTCTTTATGTACAGCTTAGTGTTTGTGTTATTTTATTTTTTGTGTGCGCGGGGGGGATGCATTTGGGTTTTTGTATATGCAGAATCTTACATGTCTTCAATTTTCATTCCTCTCCTACATGGTTTAAGTGCCTTGCATGTTTCCTCTTGCGTTGTGTAACTATGGCCTTTGCATATGTATCAAATTTTTTTTTCTCTATTTAGATCCTTAAATTCCTGGGGCAGATTCTATACGCGGCGCTGGACTGGGGTTTGACGGAGGATTTGGAACGTGACCTGACTGAGCCCCTCGGTGACCTGCTTTGCTGTATGCTGGGCTTCCAAACTGAGATTAAATACCCTCTGATTAACTTCCAGTACTCTTTCACTCTAAATGACATCAGGAAGGTGAGCTGCAGTCACAAGGTAGTGAATTATTGGGCTCTTCAAAGTATTTTATTGAGGTCATCAGTGATTATAAATCCCCTTCCACCCCAGTCCTGAATGCTATCTCTCTGGACTATTTACTATATGCAGAGAGGCAGCTGGACCACAGGTTAATGTAGTTGTCCCATTTCTGCTGGTTTTAGCCACTATTCACAAAGGGCAAATTGAGAACCAAACTTGTTTTCTTTTCAGCCGCTGTTCAGTTGTCTGTTTAAATGAGCCACATAACCTCATAACATGGTGGATTCAATTATTCACCAACCGCCAAATTGCAGCAAATTGATAAAGGACTATCTTTCATTCAGTCAATTCAGTTCCCTGATACAGTTATCGGAAAGAGGTCTATGCGAGACGTTCTACGCAGGCCTGGGGAACCAGGGATCCAATCTACTCAATTCCGTGGTTTTTTTTTTTGGGGGGTGGGGGGGTTTAAATGAATATAGAGAATATAAAATCAGACTAATCTCCAAAAGAAAGTTTAAAAATGAATTTGTCATCCTTTGTTCTTAAGCATTTTTGGGTGAACCTTGGTGTTGTCTGTCAAGGTCAGTCATTTCTGGCCTGTTGTCTGTTTCTCCGGCTGAATCAGTAATCATTCCGTGATTTTTCTAGATAGACCGTGATACATTTTTATTTTTTTAAACTTTTTTTTTTTTTTTTTTTTTAGGTCTGTGCAGAGCGATTGTTTTTGCCGTCACAGGCATCCATCTACTACCAAACAGTCTGCCGTATTTATTATGCCGAACATATGGAGTTCCAGAAACTCTTGTCCACAATTGAGCATTCAAAGCAGGTATCAGTTCTGTTTTACGCCTGCATCTGGGTGTTAGAATTTTAAATGAACCCTGGGTCCATCAGATGTATAGACTGTAATCTTGGAGGCATTTTCCACTTTAGTTATTTTGGCATAAAATGTTCAGTTCCTTGGTGAATCCCCAATTATTCAGTTTAGTGCATAACCCAGTCTAGCTTTAAATATTGATTTCACTAAATTATTAGCAAAGCTGTGATTGGGGACAAAGTGAGCAGCCGTGACCGCCATATTCATTTCTGTTTATTTCCTTTTTCAGAGTCTGGAGCAATCTGAAATGGAAGAGATTTTAGAAAAAGGTTTCCTTCCTCGATATTCCAGCTGGGTAACGAATATGGGTTTCTAACTGTAAACTGAATGTACACATCTGAAGATACCTTTGAAACCTTCTCCTTTTCCATTCCCTGATTCTTCTGGAACCCTTCACAATTTGTACTTGTATAGAAATATAACAGAAGCACAAATCAGATTTACCTTCACAAGAGCAAGGATGCATTACTAAGCAGAATAAATTAGACCGCATCAAGAATATACATTGATATTTGCAAATTGTCTGATATAGTAGTACACAAAAAAGATAAAAAGGGGTACGTTGATACAAGGGGGTAATTGATTGTGAGGATTGAAAGAGAGGGGTGATGTAAGATGTTGGTGGTATTGGTCTATTTTTTTGGGGGGGGGGTTGGTTTTGGTCTGTTTGGTTACAATCAATGGGTGGTAGGGATTGTAACAATGTAGTCTTGGGTCAACAGGTGAGGATCTTCTCGGAACCTTGAAAATACAGGGGTGAAATTAGGCTCCATGAATACGTGTAATGTTGAATTTTTGGCAATTGGCACTTAGTTGGAGTTGGTGGCTAACTCCATAAGCATTTGTCTTGAACTCCTTGGAAGGGACTGCTTATATAGGGAGGAAGGAGAACATGGAAAGGCAATAGGTTAATCATTAACTAGAATTGGCTCAAGTGGAGCAGTTAAGACCTATTTTCCTAAATTCTGTTATTCATGGTCTAGTTTCACTTTTTTATTTTTTTTCAGTGAGCGTCAGTCCATTTTTTTTTTTTTTTTATCTTCAGGGGGATTTGTGGTGTTGTGTAGTGAAAGAGCTCCGTCATGGGATCCGGCTCCGCAACGCTAAGGAGCGTTCCTACGTAGGGCTGACCGTCACACGCATGCTTTCTCCACATGAACGATTAATGAGGGATATACGTTCGAGGCGGTACACGCTACGAAAAGTCAAGGTGAGTTGTAACAACCAATGTTTTGCCATTGCCTGGTAAATTCTATTGATTCGTCAAAAGAAGAATACAATTATTGAAAAATGCGCCTCTATTTGTTTAACCCTTTAAGGACAAATGAGAGAAATATTCCATCATGATTTCCTTTTATTCCAGAAGTTGTGTCCTTAGGGGTTTAAAGAAGAGAAAATCCACAGATCCCATTCTCCCCACTCTCTACAACAGGGGTGCCCAAAAGTAGATCCCCAGATATTTTAAAGCTACAGCTTCCATGATACTTTGTCAGTCTAAAGGCATGCAAAGCATCATGGGAGTTGTAGTTTTACATCTGGGGGTCTGCTTTTGGGCACCCCTGACCCTGAATATTAGAACAGAGTAAGAAAGAGAGAAAACAAAATAAAGACTCAAAGGCTTTAAACAAATTGCTGTTCATCCGAACTTTAAGCAATCGGTGGCCAGAGCTGGATTTGTATCACAAGCACCTGTAGAATTATCTAGCACCCAATCCACCCTTCCAAACTAATAACATGCCCCCCTTGCGTCTCCTCACAGTTACACCCTTCACCCAGTCTCCACTATCCCTTCATTACACTACCCATGTTCTTAGATTGCAATTATATCCCCAGTCACATCAATCTCAGGTAGCCGCCGGTTTCTCCTCTGCCCTACCATTCGAAGCTAAACAGGAAACTAGCACTAGCGGGAAATCTAGGTAGAAAGAGCTCATCCTTATAATAAAGTTTCTGTGGATTAGAATCAGACACTGCCTGAGCATGATGGGCATTGGAGTTGCACCGGTTAGACTGCCTCTGTAAAACGACTTGGCGTGATGGGAGTGGAGACCTGCTGAATGTTCTGACAAGCTGTACAGAAATACTGCGCAGTCTTATCTCCTCAATCATGGTGGCAGATCGCCGGGCAGTTATGACAAACAAGATGATACCACAAGAAACGGTAAACTCTGGAAACTTCACCTACTGACAGAACAGTATGTAACATGAGAGAGAGGTAGATAGATATAAAAGTTGTTGCAATAGAGTATATGAACACCGTATTCGAACATCAGTTGGGTCGCTGGGTTGTGACTGGCAAGGTCCCCTTTCTCCCAGTTGTAATTGCAGAAGATTATCACTTAACACTGTTCTACCCAAACACTAGATAAGACTTGGTGAATCGTGAACAACTGTCTTATTGTGACTATGAACACTTTCATATCTGGGGCCTCACCAGGAGAGCAATGTCATTGCGACATCCCTGGCACCTTGGTTTCTGTACCTGAGCAGATAATTGAATTGGCAGCCAAACACCTTGGCAACAGGTTATCAAACACCTAAAAAATAAGTTCCCATGCCCACATTCCCACAATAGTGCCATCCTCGGGAAGCCCTCTTTGGAGTGCCCACTCCGGATCGAGGTGTCTAGGCAGAGTTAGCTGGAAGGTAAAGTTTACACTGGGCTGCGACAATC